AAGAGCATAAAATGGCGTATCGATTACCTTTCATTTAAGAGTATGAAAAACAATTAAGCGATCGTAATCAATCCAAGTGATAGGAGGTTACAAATAAGATTCATTCAATATCATTGCGAAGAAGCCTGTTCTGGAATAGAATATGCCGAATTGCATAGGTGTACCTTACTAATTGCACCAGTTTCCATCTCCCGTACTGACCCTTCTTGCTTTTTATCTGGTTGGTGGACAACTATAAGTATCATAAGCTCTTCATGTGGTCTATTTGGAATCTATGGCGGGATTGAAGACTGGATCTTCATGTAAGCGAGCCATCGCGGCTCCGAACCATTGAAAATTTCGTTTTGATAAGAATGTAAATTGTAAAAGACTGTAGTCAGGAGTAAAAACAGCCCTTAACAATACAAAATCAGAAGAATGTGAATGGATTATCGCTGCTTTTAAATGATGTTATTCAGACGAAACATTGACCATTTTGTGGTACGTGCATAAATGTGTCCGTTTCGCGAGAAAAAAAATCAGAGAAGACAATGGACCGCGTGAGCTGTTTTCATAAGTTACACTTATTTAGATTGGAAAATAACATGTAAACCAGTTTCAGAACAAATACTGTGCTAGTTCATTGGTTACCTAGTTTGAAACAGATAATCGCTATCACCAATTCGGAAACTTAAATTCCCTTTGATGTTGAGTGACACTGATTGGCGTTGATTGGTTATTGATTACTCCATTCCGAACCTTCGGCTGAGTTTTCTACGGATTACCTCGATGAAAATGAACTGTTTGGTGAAAAAGATTTTCGTCTGGAAACCGAAACAATTGTGGTATCTGCGTGCTTAATATCCACATGGAATTAAAAGTGACTATTTTCTACGAAAGACACAATTCGTAAGCACAATTTTGAAAGTTTTAATTATCGCTTGATCAATTTTCGCTCTGATGTTAACTGTTTTTAATGACAATGACCCCAATACGACCAACGGATCAATAGGGAGCAGAAATCAGTATGTAAGATTGGACTGTGCCTTGAATAATAAAGGTCCCAATGTCCCTTCTATCAGAGTGAGCCAAATCTCAGTGACGCAAGTGGCATATGTAGGCGTATGTAGGGACCATAAAGAACCCCGCCCACCTCCCCCAAGACCGCGAAAGATCTTATTTTGAAGCGAAAATTAAGCCCTCTAAATGCCCAAAATTTATCTCTGAAATCCGTTGTTTTATTGGAGCCCCCAGCAAACCCGAGAACCCCGACTAGAGGTTCGAGACATTTGATTCTATTGAAATATTTAGTGGTTTGGGTTGTTTTTCTGTCTTTTATTGTGGACTGAACATTGTATGACAGGAGACTACTGTTCACAAAATAGCTAAAACAAATTCAGTTCTTCATTGATGTATTTTCGACAACTGTTTGGTTGGCTTCACGCCGACACTATGAGTTTATCAGGATAGAAAATGATTTTATCATTCTACTCTAACAATCTTCTGAAGACTTGCCAAATTTCCTGTAATCATACATTCATTATAAAATAGTTAAATATATTAGTATTTAAAGAGGCTCGCCCAGAATGAAATCTTTAAAACGTTAGAATGCTCATATTGTTCAATGATTGATCATACAGAGATTAGCTTACATATATTAGTTTGCTTTGTGTGCATACCTATATCAATCCAATGTTGTGGATGCATGCTGAAATAGTGGAAACATCAGGTTAGGGGGCCAAATAATTTTCCATAGGGCCATAGGCCATTCGTTCCCTATGTAAAATGATAATGAAATTTTAAAGTGGTGGAGTCAAACGCCACTGTGCCGAAATAGTCAAGTCGCAAAGTTGTTAGTCTGTGTCCGATCTGAATGATTTTGCCCTTCGATAACAATACGTTAGGATCTTATTGATTGAGTTAGTAAGAGACACTTGCTTTGCGCACATAAATTTCCTTGGTCACAATACATAATGTCAAACCATACAAAGAGAACCCGATTCTGCGTCTTTCTACAGTTTCTGTTGTAACTGAGCTTCATGAACAGTCTGAAGTGTTTAATAAGCCCTGGCCGATGTCGAGCGAGATAAAAACAAGTTCTATATCAATAAACGAGAACAGAAGACATCTAAGAATTATTCAAAATAAGTGGCTAGAGATGGGAGCCTGGAGATATGAGAAAATTTGATCACAGGAAGCAGGTGCTTTAATTCTTAACAACACGTGCTCATCCTCGTTTTACCGCCACTTCTATTAGTATACCACACTTTTTAGAGGCAATTAATTATCAAATGACCTTTGAACCCAGGCAGGGGGTTTATCAACCGTCTGGAACCGACAGTATTTTATCTGAACGGCCATTTACCTTATCTAAAGGTGAAAATTTTATCACATTTGGTAAATATGACGCGAGGGATGATATAAGAACATGTATGACATAATTGCATATTAAAATAAATGTGTTTCCATGGTTACATACAAAGAAACAATAAGTCAAGATTTTTTCCCGATAAATTTCTTGGAGTATCTCATGTTTGATTTTTTATTAGATTTTGAGTGATTTATGTTTAAAACTAATTATAGTCGACTGGGAAGCGAATATATTAAGACTGAAGTTATTTGGTGCGAGTTTTTAGACTTTTTACATCAAAGTTGCAGATTGATAACAAGTGTTTATTTATAGTTCTAGATGATAAAAAGATTCCATAACAGAAGTAAGATATGACTTTTTTCTGATTTATTTAGATTTGTGAAGGTGGGAATCATTTATAAAGTTAAAATTTGTATAAATCCGGTCGTTGTCCGTGTGAAATATTAAAGTGTCATTTTGTTCGTGGATTGTTTTTTTTTTAAAGTTAACTCTTGATAATTCACGATTTTTTTTTATCAAATTCACATCAGTTAGAGTGGAATTTGGAATGAAATATTGATTTTAAGAAATTTGAAACCGAGACCCACCACATGTGAATAAAGTTTTAAACAAAGAAATCGGAATGGACGGGATGACCGAATTCATTATGGAGTGCTAAAAGTGCCAAGAATCGTTTAAAACGCATTAAAATAATCTGCAGTTGCCTTTAGCAGTGATGAAAGCTAGAATTAATTATTTTCTCGAAATGTGAAACTGCAACGGGAAATAACAGAAAAGCGAATATTGTTTAAAACGGATGGAAAGTTGTGATGTCTTGGTTTTTCTATCCTCATGGTGAATAACATAACAAAGTGTGTCTATTGTTCTTTATTCGAAAGGTACCGTGTTTATGTTGTATTAGTGATTGATTTTGAATTTTGACTAACAATTGGAACTGACGGAACGTATTAATTGATAGCCATTTCGATCAAATTCGTCTGTGATATAAGAAACATTCCAATAAAGTTTACCCAATAGTTTCAGTATGAGGTCAGTGTCGATTTAAATTTAATGATATTCAAATTTGTGCGACAAAAAACTTGAATTGCAAGAAAAAAACACAAGTTTGTACGGGTTGATTTCGTAATGAAAAGTGATTGGTTTGGGTAGTTCTAATTCATTCAATTTCTCAGTTAAAATGGATTTAAAATCAACTGTCAAGATTCTAATCTGTATGATTTTCTACATTGGAGTATCAGAAACAGTACGACGGAGATTCCACAGAAGGTATGTCTATTAAAATCTACAAAACATTCTTGATTTATTAAAAGGTGTTCACGTACATTTTGGCTGATTTGTTTGGTCAGGCCTGAATTGATTTCATGATTTGTACCATTGTAGTGGCTGGTGTCGCTCGCGAAACAGACAATGCTTACTCTTTTCGAAACACCTGATGGCACTTCTCTTTGGAGGAGTCAACTACCATACAACTTTTACTCTCGATTTTGCCATACTTTGGATGAGATTTTGATTTATTTTTATTCATGTAATTAGAACTTCTCTAATAATAATCAAAGCACAATACCTGTAACGTGACTTTAGCTATACTGAACTCAACACTGAACCATATTTAGTGTGATAATTCGTTTACTTTTCTTGACCACAAGCCTTAAAAAACTCGCTAGCAGGTTATATGGTTGACACAGTGATAGTTTTCGCATTCAGCGCATTATATGAACATGTATGTGTTTTCGGTATAACGTTTTATTTAGTTTTATTGGGTTTTTTTCAGGGGTCCTCACATGTGTGGTCCAATGACTATGTTGAGATGTTGTCCAGGATGGGTTGCTGCCCCTTTTAGTAACCTGTGTATACACAGTAAGTATAATCAACCACTGTGTTCACTCTGGTCAGGATAGTGACACGTCACTATCGAGGTATGCCCACTTT